AGGTCCCTGATTTCTTGATCTGTTTTGATTTTACTACTGAAATGTTTGGACCGCGTCTTCCTCTGCCTTTCCACTTTTATCAAGAAGATCTTGTGGCTATTTCTAGTGTTGGAGGTCAGCAACTTGCTGTGTTATTTCAGCACAGAGATTTATTGAGGATGGAGATTTGGGTTACCACTAAGATTGAGCCTAAACATGTGTCGTGGAACAAGTTCTTAGCGGTAGTTATGAAACCACTTACTGGTTCCAGGAGGTTTCACGCCGGGAGTTTCTTCATCGACCAGAAGGAAAAAGTTGCGGTGGTTTTTGATAAACAGAGGTTTGTGACCCCCACTCGCAACATAGCTTACATCATTGGAGAGAATGGGTACTTCAAAATAGTGGATCTTGGCGAAACCAGTGACAGATATTGTTACCCACTAGTGTGCTCTTATGTTCCAAGCTCAGTGCAAATCAAGCAAGTTTCTCGAGGTAAACATGTTATTAGTAACTCCACTATGTATTTGCTGTTTTCTTTTGGTCATTTCAATATGGCATATGCTTTCTTTACTTAGTTCATCCTTATATTTCCAACGGATAGCGAATCAGAATACTGTATGTGATCTCTCGTTTGGCTCTTCCTAAATATTTCTTTGAAACAAGTCAAATGCATCTTCAACTTTTTCCTTGGAAGCTCTCTTTACCATTGCTAATTTTCTGTAAAGGAAAAGAGTAATAGTTATGATGCAATTTCCCTCTTGTACATTGAAAAAAAAAGGAAATTGATGTCTTACCATGTTTCTTACAGGAATCGAAATTGAAGAAACAACAGGGGCTTGAAAGCAGAGGGAAAGAAGCTTACCAGGATTGATATGTTCACTCTCTTAAGTACCTAAAAACCCTACAACATCAGAGACAGAGGAAAAGATTTGTCAAAATTGTGTCTTCCTTGTAGTCCAACACAAAGCATTCTCTTATCAGTTTCTTTGCTTTATGATAGAGTATTTTTCCTTTCTCCTTTTGTATATAAGCATTGGCGGCACTTAGTTGTATGAAAAGAGTCAAAAGATATAACTCAATATGGAATGATATTTTTCAATACTAATGACCCAAAGGCTCATTTGATTATATTTGGCATATTGATGTGGTAAATTTTCTGAGGATGAGAAGAAAAAGAAAGAAAAAAAACAGAGTGATTGTAATCTTTTTGTTTTTTTTTCCTTCTTTTCTTAATGTTTTGATGTAAGACAAAATATAAATTTGTTTTAATCAAACAAGCAAACTCTCTTCCACATAAAAGTATTAACAATGTTTTTGCTAACGATTAATACTATCTTTTACATAATTTTCTGCAATGGTCCCACATTCTAGTTTCTTAAAGCCCAAGATTCCCCCATAGGGTTACTGTGTCTTCATATATATTCCCTGAGAGATCAGGTTAAAAGTAAAAAGGTTTTTGAAGGTTATTTGTAGTATGACAAATTCAATCCTTATTGAAACAATGACGAATTTGTCTGATCTTCCAAGGGATTTGTTGGAGGAGATACTCTCTAAGGTCCCGGTGACATCTCTGAGAACAACTCGATCTACCTGCAAAAATTGGAACAATTTATCGAAAAGTCGAAGCTTTACAAAGAAGCATCTCGTTGAAGCAAAAGTAGTAGCAGGAAAGTTGGTCATGGTAATGAATTTTAGGGTTTATTTGATGAGCGTCAATCTCAACGGAATTGACAATGACGTTAAACCATCTATAAACTGTCAAGGTAAACTTAATTATTAGCCTAGACGATGCAAATCAAGTCGATATATCTAAAGTTTATATATCATTGCGACGGTTTATTGTTATGCATCACAAAAGACTACATTAGACTTGTGGTTTGGAACCCGGGGCAAACACGGTGGATCGAACCAAGAAATTCTTACCACATGAGGTGGATCGAACCAAGAAATTCTTACCACAAATTGGACAGGTACGCTTTCGGATACGAGAAGAAGAAAAAGAACTCGCTTCGTAGCCACAAAATCTTGAGATTTGTAGATGACTTTGACAGTGAAAATCACCTAACTTGTGAGTTTAAAATCTACAATTTTAAGTCTAATTCATGAAAGGTTCTTGATGTAACTCCTCCCGAGTGGTATATGCAACTTTATGCACATGGCGTGTCTCCCTAGGGAAATACTTATTGGTTTGCTCGAAAGAAAGTAGAAGGACTAATAAGTGGATGGATACGAGAGAGAGATTTGGAACCCGTCTTCGTCTTCGACTCCCGTTTTCCACTTGTGTTGAAGATACTGTGACTCTTTCTAGTGTTAGAGATGAGCAACTTGCTGTGTTATTTCAGCGTGGGGATAACTTACAGATGGAGATTTGCGTTACGACTAAAATGGTGTCGTGGAACAAATTGTTCTTAGCGGTTGATATGAAACCACTTACTGGTTTTCAGTTCCTAATTACGCATGGGAGTTTCTTCATTGACGAGGAGAAGAAATTCGTCGTGGTTTTTGATACAGAGAAAGATATGCATCCCACTCGCAACATAGCTTATGTAATTGGAAAGGATGGATACTTCAAACAAGTGGATCTTGGTGAATCTAAAGATGAACATTGGTTCCCNCTTGTGTGTTCTTATGTTCCAAGTTCAATGCGAATCGAGCATGTTGGTAAAAGGAAAAGAAGTTAGATTATTAATTAGTCCATTTACGATACTTTTTTTTTTTTTTTGNTCTTTGCTTGATGATATTTGAATAGAATTTTTTTTGATAAAGAATATTTGAATAGAATTTGGTCAACTGTTACTTTGTTTCTCATCTCATGAAAAATAAATAAGTTATTTTAATCTTACAAAATACTAGATTATGACATTTTCAACACAATGATACTTGTATATAAGCAATGACGGCACTAAGCAATAATGGTTTCC